AGGAAGCCAGCAATCCAAAATTGAAGTGTCAGCAGAGTTGCCTCCGTCTTAGGGACTCAGAAGGCGAATCCATCCCATGCCTCTCTCCTAGCTCCCGGTGGTGGATGGCAAATCTTGGAATTCCTTGCAGCTGCATAATTCCAATCTCTGCCACACTGTCACAAGTTTGTCTTCCCTCTACGTGTCTCTGTCTCTGTGTCTCTTCTTTTCTTATAAGGACACCAGACATATTGAGTTAAGGGCCCACTCTACTTCAGTATGACTTTATGTTAACCAATTACAATATAACAGTAATGACCCTATTTCTAAATAAAATCATATTGCGAGGTTCCAGGAAGTACCTAAATTTTGAGGAAACATTATCCAACCCAGTAAACCCTCCGAATCCGCTCTTATTCTTATATTTCCATGTTTGTAAATAGTGTTAGATCTCAAACTAAAGCCAAGAATCTGAGAAGCAGTCTTCATTCCCACCTCTCCTCAACTTTGTACCCCAATTATTATCAAGCTTGATCGTTTTGGCTTCTAACATTTCTAGACTTTGAATACTCTTATCCATCTCCAAGTTTTCATCGCTAATCCCTGACTCACTCTTTAGCATCTCTCTCTTGCTTGCCCTACGACAACCGTCTGTCCTATAACGGGGTAACTGAAAGGCAGAGTGGTCTCTATGGAAGCCCTGGCATTTGTAACATCTTTTGTTTTGACAGATTCTTTACAAATCTTCAGAGTGTGACAGAAACCATGATATCTATAATCTAGCTTTTTATCAGGTTTCAAGGCCTCTCTGGGAAGGGAAGACCAGAGGGGCGTATGTCAGTGTTTTGAGGTTCAAAATTATCCCTGGATCCAGAGGCTGCATGATGGAAGTACTCATTCTCATCTTTTCAATAAACTAACATAGTAAACCAGTGTAACGGCATGAGATGTAAACCATTCTTATTCACACACACACACACACACACACACACACACACACACATTTTATGAATAGTGTTTTCTTCTGAGATGTTAGCCCATCCATAAAGATTAGTCTAGAAGTAAATTATTTTATAGTCATTTAAATATAAGCATGTTCGGGAAGATGGCTTAACGCTTCCCTGTCTTCTGTGCTTTTATTCCAGGAACTATCATACTGAACATCAGTTTCCTCCTTTACTTGACGCAAAAATCTACAGTTCACCATGTTGATTCCCATACTCCCAAATGGGGATTCTTTTTCATCAGCATAGAGCTTAGGGCTTCACAGGAAGTAGAGACTATGGAAAGGGAGAGTCCAAGAGGTAGAGGAATGCATTTAGGTCCGTTTATATTATCCATAAGTGCTGCTTCTGCTGCCAACAAGTGTCCAGGCTGTCTTGGCCACAGACTACATAATCTTAAAGTGTCTCCATTCCCTTGGCCCTCTTTCCAATCTAAGAAATCTTATTCTATCTGATCCCAGGTTCTAGGTGAGATTACCTCCTCCTGTTCACGAATATACACAAATCCAAATTGTTTTATTCTTGTTTAAACAGCTCTGAACTCTTCTCCAACCAAGCACCCAGCTCTTGGACACCATCACATTTTAAAAATAAGAGTGACTGGAGGACACAAATCCACTATGATTTATAAAGTCCATAGCATTCACCATACCTGGGCGGATGCATAAAACTGCTATTTCCCTTTGAGAGCTAGAATGAAAAGAATATCTTGAGTAAAACATAGACTACCTATTTGATTTCTCAAAAGCAATTGTACTTCAAATAAGAAGAAAATAATAATAATAAACAATTTTGTTTGTCTGGGTAGGTTCAAATGCTTAACCTGGAGCTCTTTTTTACTAATGTCACGAACTGATAATGATTTATATAAAGTACATAGAGCATATTAATATGAAAATTTCTGACACCAACAGGATTCAGAACAGCATGTACTAATGGTTGAACTTTTAAAACTGAAAGACAGGAGTCCTAGATTTATCACTAATATGTCATATTTTTACATGTAAATTACTTACTCTTGAGCCTTAGATAGCTACATCTAACAATATAATAGAATATGTTTAATTATTACTTAAAAGAATTATGCTTCATCATTGTTAAGAAAGCTTATTTTACTCATAGGATTTATAGGAGGTTGTTTTATATTCAGAAAGGAATTATATTTTCTAACTCAGATAAAACCTGTTGAAGGAATAGAAAACCATTGCATTTATTTACTATCAAGCCATTCAGGTCTGAGTCTCATCAACATTTTAAAATACAATTTTCAAATACTTTCTTTCTCATTTTCAGTGGACATTGAATGAGCTTGAGACTTGATTGAACCTAATTTACTCTCATTTAGCATTAAAAGAAGACATTGGGGGGAGGGATGAATAGGCAGAGCACAGAGGATTTTTAGGGTAGTGAAAATACTCTATATGATATTGCAATGATGGATACATACATATCATTATACATTTGTCCAAAGACTATTTACCCACAGACTGTAAAACAACAAGAGTGAACCCTAAGGTAAACTATGGACTTTGGGTGATTAGGATGTGTCAGTGAGGATTCATCCATTGTAACAAATTTATCACTGTGGTGAGTGATGTTGATGTGGGGGCAGCTATGCACGGAGGGGGGGGGGCAGGGGGCAGAGGTTATGTGGAAAATCTCTGTACCTTCCTTTCAATTTTGCTGTGAATCTAAAACTGCTCTCCAAAAATTGTCTTTAAAAGTATTTTATTTATTAGAAATATTACTTTGTTTTTCAAAATTGCATATTTGAGCTCTAAATTTGAAAGTAAAGTGTTTCCTCTTCCAACCTTCTCTTTACATATATATCAAATCATATATGATCCAGTAGGAAACATTTCTTTCTCCAGAATTTTCTACACTTTGTAAATATATAACTTCTGCACAAAAATCATTCTATAATGCTCTTAAAAAGTTACATAAGTTTACCATACAGCCCAGCAATTCCACTGTTAAATACTACCCAAAAAAATGAAAAAATATTTAGTACAAAGACTTGCATGTAAATGTTCTTAGCAACATGATTCATAATAACCTTAAATTAAAAACAACCCTAATTTCCATCCACTAGTGAATGGATAGAAAAATGTGGTATATCCATACAAGGGAAAATTATTCAATAAAAAAGAGGACTGAGATACTGACACATGCTACAACATGGATGAATCTCAAAAACATGTTAAGTGAAAGAACCCATAAACAAAAGGCCATATATTACACACTTCCATTTATATGAAATGTCCAAAAAAGGCAAATCTATAGAGATTGAAAGTAGATTAGTGGTTGCCTTCAGCTGAGGTGAGAGCAGAGATTAACTATCAATGAGCATGATGGATCTTAGTGGGGTGACGAAAATATTCTAAAACTGAATTACGATGATGGTTTTACAACTTCATAAAATTTCTTTTAAAATAATTGAAAGGGGTAATTTCTAAAAATTGAAATTTCTAGTTTAATATTGACTAAAGAGGAGGAAAGAACTTTAACAAAAATGAAATTTGACACATTTTTACATATCCTGCATTATGTATTCCATTAGCCTTTGATAATTTGTTGAAGAAAGTTGTGGTAAAGATAAGACTAAAAAGTCAATTACTGAAAACTTTTCGCAAAAATTTTTTTTCCAAAGTATATTTTGCTTCCAAGTTGAATGATTTGATTTTCCAAAACACTTTTTTACAATACGAACTCTCCTGAGATAGTGTCAGTAGGAGTATTCACCAGCAGAGGACGTAGGATTCGAAAACAAAGGAGGTTTTCAAAACGCTGGTCTAACCAACCTTGATCCAGAACCTACCACAGTACAGTACTTGCTGTGAGCTTATGCCCATCAGATCTCATTTTAACAATCCAAATTCTGAGCTTTCTGAATATTATATCCCAGATGTCAATAAGAAGACTCTTGTGAAGAGATAAAGTGAACAGATGGATTTTGAATCTAGATGCATACAAAAAGAAATGCGAGATTCAAAGTAATTCTAATGAAATGCTTTTTCAGGACCCAAACCATTAATATGAGTGTTTTGCTTTTTTCCTCCCTAGGTGAATGTTTAAGTGGTCATCAGCCTCAAATCTCCACTTTCCAGTCCTGCACAGACTCTGACTAGTAATACCACCTGAAGTTTTTTGGCTTATTTATTATTTTTCAACCGTTTCCCGTATGCCTCACTCAGGCCAAACGCTTTTCCAAAGGAACAGAGTTCAGCTGCGCTCCCTAGGATGAGCTCTAAGAAGAGGGGGCAGACCAGCCAGTCTCAGCCTCACTCAGCAGGTACTTGCCAGCCCCAGCCGGGCAGCTGGTTAAGGAAGATTCATTCCCCCTCCACCCCCGAGAAGGCACTTTCAGGAGCTTCCCCAAGGGGGTGCAGCAGCAGCAGCCGTCTCTCCCTGTCGCCAGCCGGGGTCCTAGGCTCCAGGAAAATCCAATAGCTGCCGGGACCCCTGGAATGATCCATTCTAATCATCCCCATATTTTATCAAAGAATGGAGGGAGGGACACTGGCTAGGCCAGGTGACCTGGCTAAAGCCACGCAGCTCGACGCTGGCCGAGCCAGTGAAAACTCAGGTCTCTGTTGACCCGGTGGCCGCGAGCGGCTGCCTGGGGCTCGGAACGCGCAGCCCAAGGAAAACGACGTGGCATTGTCTGCGGGAGAGGCGAAGCGCTCAGCAACTGACGGCAGGAGGTCACCAATGTCCACCTGCAGGACACAGTGGGCAAAAAAGAAGGTGACCAGACCTCCCTGATGACGCCTATGGATCTGAGCGCCCCCCTTTCACTCTAAAAGTACCCTAGTTTGCATACGAATTATGAGGTCGCCCTAGCGAAAGGGACACCCCCTTTGAATTCCCGCGGTGCTCGCGCCCACAGGGTGCAAAATGGGAAAGTTACCCTCACCCCAAATTCGCAGCCTCCGTCTCCCCTGACTGCCCAAGTCCTTTCCCTCCATCCTCGCCCTGGCGACACCCACGCCCGCTACCCCTCGGCCGGGTACGTACCAGCCGCGCGCAGAGCTGACCGCGTGCCTGGGCCAGATGCCCCCTTGAGTTCCGGCTCGCCCAGCCTCCCCGTGGCTGGGAGCTGCGACGCGGGCTCGGCTCGCTGCCGCCTCCACAACCTAGAGAGCTGCGGCCGTTTCTGGGCTGTGGGACTGAGGTGCAGTCAGGCGGCACGGCGATTCCGGGGGCGGAGGGAGCCGCGGGGGGACCCGCCCCCGAGCGGAGCTCCGGTTCCCCCTGCAGCGTCCAGCTCCTCCGGCAGCCCCGGCCGCCGCCGTGGGGCTCTAGCAACACGCGACGGTCGCTCTTCCCTGTTGGCGCCCGATACGCAAGACTCTTTTTCCTGCGTGCGCGTTAACAGACAACTAATCGTCCGCGCTCATCACAGAACCCGTGTCCTCCCCGCCTGCCACCCCCAGTCCTCTTCTGTTAGGAATTTAAGTGACTGCGGGAATTTCTCTTCTCTTCCACCTTCCGGACGCTACAACTTGTCAGTCCGACCCGTGTGCGCGCCCCGAGGCTTTGTACTCCAAGTGCCATAAGGTTGCCCTTTGGTCTAATCCTGGCTGTTTGGAAAAGGTAGGAATGTGCATAACTGTCTCATCTGCACCTGGAATCTGGGTCTTCACTTTTATTAACAGGCTGTTTCAACAGATTGGGAAGGAACATGCAATGCTTACAACTTTGGGGTAAAGCAAAGCAGAAAACAATGTGTATCAAGTTTTACTTTCAAGTTCTTAGAAGGAAAATGAGGTCCTTACTGTTAAGGTCTCACTGTATCCTTTAAAAGCCATATTTAATGGATGATAATACTGCTGCAAAAATTAAGGTGCTCATCTCTGCTTCCTGAGAAGGTGGTTTGTGCTCACTGAAGTAGAGATCTCCTCTGGTTTCCTGAAAGTCATTGATACTGTGCTTTGGCTTCTTACCTAGGGGATACCTGCCACTTCACGACTGACTCCTTCCAAATTACTTTTCATGCAAAGGCTATGCCAGACAAGAAAATATAATCAGGCAAATATCTTATTTAGTATCTATTAATGATGCTTCAGTCATGCTCTTTAAATCATTAAATATTCCTACCCCCACAATGTAGTAATAATCATCTCTATTTTCACATAATAAAGTGAGGCACAGCAAGGTTAGATAATTGGTACAAAACTGAAATAGCTAGGAAGACTCTAAATCAGTTTTTGAACTTAGGTTTTTCTGCCTTTAATGTTGATGGACATTTTTTAACTTACACCCTGTTAATAAAGCTTGTGATTTTTCTAAATGCCAACTAGTACATTTAGTTTTCTAAAAACATAGTTACTTGTGTGGTCATACAGATATTAGTTAAAGAAATTGAGAGTTATTTATATTTTCAGTGTAACTTCAAAACTTATTATTTGGCATTTCAAATATATTTCTAAAGTCTCATAATTTTACTATATAAGAATATGTAAAATTATTATCTAAGGCAAATTATTCTAAGGCCCTATCTATAGTAGAGAGTGATGCTAAAATGTTTGGGTTTATGAGTTTTACACTGCCATGATTGGAGTTCTTATGTTCACAAAATTTGCTCTGTAAAAACCTGTATTTTTGGGTAAATTTGAAGAAATCATTAGCCCTCACTGATACATTTTTAAGTTGCATATTTTAAACGATCAGAACCACTTGAATGTATGCTCCATGAAGGCTTTACCTTCAATACCTGGAACAGTACCTATACAAAACAATTGTTTACAAAGCAGTTTTTAAGTCAACAAATATAACCTCATTTCCTTCAATAAAGAAAAAATAATGACTTAAGAAAATACTATTAATAGAAAGCTTTTGTCTATTTATAGTGGATTGAAGATTTTTAATTGTCTCTCGTTTCTACTAGGAAAGTAAGAGAGATGATGCAATCAGGTAAGCCACCTAAAGGTTTGCAGTAGCTGCTGCTCTGAATAGTACAGAGAACCTGACCATACGTCCAAAAAGTACTTTTGAGGGCATTGGTGGTATCAGTACCACACAATCATGTGAATTTGTGTAAAATATATGACTCAATGCAGAAAGTTTAACTAATCCAACTTTGGGGTTTTGCCAAGTGATTTGATAGAAAGTCAAGGAGAAAGCTTGGCTGCCATTTTTAAGAGAGTGGTTGAAGGACAGGGCTATAAGGTTAATTTAAGATTATGTAGGAAAATAATGAAGACATAAAAAGGGAGAGAAAAGGAAGTGAGAGAATGATACATCTCGATCAAACAAGAGAGAGAAAAATTAGAAGTAGTGAAAGTGTATAGCTTTCTTGAAAGTTTTAGTAGTAGAATGATGATGGCAAGATTTACAGAAGAATTGTGGGTGGGACTGGCTAACAAAGAACAAAGATCAAGAAATTGGAGACTGAGGTACTGAAAAAGCTATTCACATGGATTGAAGCCACCAACAATGATGTCATGTGATAGAGAAGGAGTGAGTCAGACACCAAAGACTTCATGAATGTGGTGGAATGATGTGGAACTGAGTAGATGACGGTGCAGAGTTGGGACAGGATGTACGTATTCGCAGAAGAGCCTTAAAGGATCAAGTGCTGGTATAAGAGGCAGTACACAGTTCAGAAGCAATACTGGGGAGCTACAAGGATGCCAAGACTGCCTCCCATGGTCCTAGGGTGTGAGAGGATGACCATTCCTACACTGAGGGAGACTTAGAAGAAACTATTCTCAGAAGTTGATTTTCACCTAAAGCAAGAAAATGAAGGAAGCATAGTGTGAGTGGGTTATAAAGGCAGTGGGGTTTTTCAATATTGAACAAGGGTTCTGCAGGTTCAGAGTGGATACACTTCGGAGGCAAGCCAGCTTCACGTGCATCCCGTGCAGTAACACAGGGCTCTACTTTTAAGGAGGCCCCTTGCTTGACTTAGTGCTCTGCTGTCCCTGCCTTCAAATTCTTAATAATATTAAATAAGTGACCCCACATTTTCATCTTGCATGGAGCCCCACAAGTTATTTAGCCAGTCCTGTTTGGAGGAAGTGAAGAAATAGGAGCTTGGTTGAGGCAGACACAGTACAAATCCACTGGGGATTAAAATATGGGAGAGACTAAATGCAGGAGATTGTATTTTGAGACCAAGAATGGCGGGAGAAGAGGTGGGGCTGCGAGGTTTCAAATGACATCTAGTTTTGCAATCTTCGGGCCATTCTAGCTGAGACCTTGGTAGGAGAGGCAGGCGCCGTCACCACATTTCTGTAGGCTAGTATATTAGTTTTCCTAGGGTTGCGTAATAAATTACCACAAACTCGGTGACTTTGACCAGCGGAATTTTACTTTCTCACAGCTCTGGAAGCCAGAAGTTCAAAATCAAGGTGTTGGCAGATAGTGCTCTCTCTCTGAAGGCTCTAGGAGAGGGCCTCTTTAGCTTTTGGTGCATATAGGTAATCGTTGGTGTTCCTTGGCTTGTAGTTGCGTAACTCCAATCTCCACCTTCACATATTCTCTGTGCTGCTTCTCTATGCCTGTATTCTCCTCTTCTAATAAGGACGCCTATGGGATTTAGGGTCGGGATTAATTCAAGATGATCTCACCTGGAGCTTCTGATGTTAATCACATCTTCGAAGACCCTTTTTCCAAGTAAGGTCACATTCAGGGTTAAGACCTGAACATGTCTTTTTGGGGACCAGCATTCAGTCCACGACAGTGAGGTCAGCTGAGGCCACAGGAATAGCAAGGCTGGATGACTGGGGGGCTGATAGCTTTTCAGATCTATTTGGCAAACCAAGATATGTGTAGCAATATGAAGCTTGTCAATATTTCTAAAGCTCTCTAACTGTGAAACCTAATAAATATGAAATTTGGAAGATTAAAACTGTCTAGAGAGACTTTACATCCATTGGAGTGGCTACCTGTCCTTGGGAACAAGGCCCTAGGGAAAAGAGACGTGTACCTGAGACTGTGCCAAATCTGATTACAGAGAACTAAGAAAACGGGGTCCTCCACTCCTCCTCTTCACCCACCCCCAGAGAACATATGTTATTCCCTGGTACTAAAGGACAATCTACAGGATGACCGCAGTTCATCCCTCCTTAAAATACAGGATTTGGAAGGGCTGGAGGAGTGACCTTGTGAATCTGTGGCAGAAGCTGAGCAAGCGTCCCAAGCCATGCCTTAAAGAGGACAATCGTAAAAGCCCTTAGAGAGGGGAGAAAGAACTGTGGAGGCTGATTCTAACTATGCTATCCCATTCTTTTCCTCCAGTTGACAGGCACCCTGAGAAATGGCTGAGTAGCTGCCAGAGTCAAATGAACTCTCCTTTAAAAGCATCACACTCTTTGATCCTATCCCCCGCTTCTGCACTCAATAGAACAGGAGCCGTAAATTCCATCAGAGGTTCCATCCATCATTTTCTGGGTGATGACAGTGAAAAGTTCCTTGATTGTGGCAATGGGGCAGCAGCATAACTGGGCCGAGGTTTACAGCAGATTAGAGGAGCACCCATCTTTGGGTGGCCTGGAAGAAAGTTGCCCTGAGACCAAGCTTGGATGATATAATGCCCTACAGCAGACAGGGGTGGAGGCTGAGTTGCCCACTGGTGATCCTGCTCCTGCTGTGTGGCAGAAATGATGCCACAGACCCACATCCACTAACAGAGAGGCTGGGCAATGAAAAGACTGGCGCACAACTAGCTTTCAGAAAATTAGAGGCTGTAGAGTGAGAGGCAGAGAGAAGAGAAAGAGACTGCTTTCCTTTTACTGGTTGAAGTAGAAATTTCCTAACAAAGTATTTGAAATTATCATCATACTTTTATGTCTCTCATGCTCCTAGTCAATGGGGTGTTGTTTTGCAGAGTAGTAGAGTATACGAAAAGAGCACTGAAAACAGGGAATGCTGGGTTTTAATCCCAAGTGGCAATGCCACTACTGGTGTGGAATCTCAGTGGTCAGTTTCTCTGAAGGGAGGGTGCAAGAGTCTTACACAGTAAGACTAAAAGATTGTCCTGCTCTAAAATTCCATAAAAATCTGAATTGACTTTCTTATGAAATCGAAACTCCTCAGCCCAACATTGAGAACATTTACCCACCCATCTCTATCTCACTTCTTATCATTTCCCCACACAAATTCTGTTTTCCAGATAAGCTAATCAATTGACCAACTCCATGTCACTTCCTTATTTCAACATTTATAATTGGAGATATGCTTATTTTTATATCTTCCACTCTTCAGCAATGTCATTTAATTTCTTCAAATTCCTATTCACAAATAATGTATTTTATGGAAGCCTATTGATGAATGTTTTGCCATCTCTGATCAATT